GGTAATACGCGTTGTTTATCTTGATTTTTATTGATTGTAAGCCACCTACAGTTGCTTCTAGGCAAGATGGTTGGCATATTACTTACTTATTAGCTAGTCAGTCAGTCAGTCAATGATAGAGAGATGAGAGAGATGAGAGAGATGAGAGAGAGAGAGAGAGAGAGAGAGAGAGAGAGAGAAGAGAGAGAGAGAGAGAGAGAGAGATGAGAGAGAGGGAGAGGGAGAGAGAGAGATGAGAGAGAGAGAGAGATGATGAGGGAGAGAGGGAGAGAGAGAGACCGTGTTTCCCAAAAATAAGACTGGGTCTTATATTAATTTCTGCTCCAAAAGACGCATTAGGTCTTATTTTCTGATTAGGTCTTATTTTGGGGGAAATACAGTACATTTAGTACAGATGCACCCATCTGGCTGACAGTCTTAACTGGGGCTTATTTTGGGGGTAGGGTTTATATTACGAGCATCCTGAAAAATCCGGTTGGGTCTTATTTTTGGGGAAACAGGATAGAGAGACAGACAGACAGACAGATATAGAGAGACAGACAGACAGACATTGAAGGCCCTGACTGTACTTAGCCTTGAGAAAGCTGAGAAGGGATAGGTTAGTTCTCTCCAAATCGCTCAAAGGATATTATACAGAAGCTGCCCGGGACTTCCTTAATTTCAGAAAGCAAGTTACCAAATCTGAAATAAGTCAGAGAAAGTCAGATTCCAATTGAATTTTTATATATATATATATTTTAAAAGAGCAGTTTGACAGTGAACTGACCCAGAGAGTTGACAGCTTCCCTTCACATTCAGAGAGGTTAGTCAGCCATCCACGGGTGATGCTTTAATCGGAAGACCTGCACCACCAATGGATTGGACCCAGTGGCCTAGAATGTTTACGTGGAAAGAAAAGCTTTGCTAAGGCCTGTCATGCGTACTCCACCCAGGTCACACTCCGGCAGCATAAATCAGTGGATAAAAGGTTTGCAGCAAAAATGCAGCGGAGTTCACTGCCAGCCTCTAACATCACAGCTCATCTAATACCCATAAGCCCACCAGCAGCACCACAGAGGCTTAATCGAAAGAAAGAAAGGATATAAAAGAGAGAAGTGTGTTCTAGCCAAGACGGATGATGAATGGACCAATGCCAAAGAATGCTTCAGTTCAGAAGTCTGAAGCTAGTTGCTCTTCAGTGCCTTCAAGGTCTTCCAGGAAAGATCAAGGTGCCATCTGAAGGCACAAACAGGTCCATGACAGTGTTGTTAAGAACAGAAAGACACTTGGTGGCTCCGTGGCTAAGACCCTGAACTTGTCGATCAGGAAGGTCGGCAGTTCGGCGGTTCGAATCCCTAGTTTACGTCTCCTGCTGGACTAGATGACCTCCAAGGTCCTTTCCAACTCTGTTACTGTTATACTTCATGCTGACCTTAGTTGCTCCATGGCAGAAACACCTTTGAAGGTGATCACCAGCACCTTGAGTTGTACCTGCAAGCGGACTGGCAGCTCTCACAGAAGAGGTGATGCAAGGGCAAATCAGGTGGGAAGGCAGGGCATGTTACGGGGGTCCCATCCATTAAAGATTGCCACCGGACCACGAAAGAGGGCCTTCTTGGCGGTGGCCCCCTTCTCTATGGAACATCATTCCCCGCGGGATTCAAGTTGCTCTCCACCCTATTGCTTTTCTGGAAGGCCCTAAAAATGTGGTTTTTTCAGTGGGTCAGGGGACCCCACCCCCAAATGGACACAAGGCCCATCAACGGGCTGATTTGTGTTGTTTTTGCCATGGGGGGGGGAGTGTACAGGTACGTGTTTATGGGTTTTTATTCTACGGATTTTTAAAATGTTGTTTTGATAAATAAAAACATAAGGCCGAACTGCTCCAGACCTTCGTGCCTGCAAGGGGGCAGCCCAACAGCAATTTGCAGAGGGCCTTTGTCACTCTCCCCAATGACTCCAGAATTCAGTTACAGGGACATCCTGGTAGGATAAAAACCCTCTGTCCGGTCATGATCCAACACTCCATTCTTTCTCTCTCTCTCTCTCATCAACATCCTTTTCTCACTTACTCCTGTTGGGAGAAATGTCCATCTGGGTTCCGTTCCAAGTGGGGAGAAAGACACTGGAAACATGGAGACTGATTGGAAAGATGGTTTTTAATGGTGGATAGGACCACATGGTTTGAGGTCCTGGGCAAAAATGTCACATAGAGTGGAGAGAGAGAGAGAGAGAGATTTATACCCTCTATTTGGATTTGAATTTGAGATTGTATTCTGATTGGTTGTCAGACTCCCATAGGGCCATGCAGGGGTAACTGTGTAGGTTGTCTTTTGAGTCCCAGGCTTGGTTGAGCCTTGCTGGGTGATGCAATCTCCCCAGGTGCCATGTGGTGAGTTCTGTTGCTAGATGGGTAGAGGGCTAATCCTCTCTTTATTGGATCTTCGGTGAAGGCATTTGCTTATGAATAGACCTAGCTATCTCCTTATCTCTTAAGTGCTGACATCAGCTGTGGGCTATTGAGGAGGGTGGGGGCTATTAAGAGTGAGTCTGCTTCCTGGCTAAAAAAACACATTTCTCCATTTCTCATCCAGGGAGAGATAATATTCTGCCTTTTTAATATTTCCTAGAATATTTCATTCTTCTAGAAGAGGGGTGGGTGCTAACTTCCTACACTCCTTTTTTTCTTAACACACAGACACGCATTTATCCCCATCTCCGTTCAGCAATATCCCCCACTACGTCTGTTGCTAACTGGTGGCCTATCATACCATATCTGCTTCACCCCGCCTTCCCCCCTGCTTCCAGGAACTTCATCCCCATCGGGGAAGTTCAAAGCTGGGCTTCTGCTTTTGATACAATGCCCACCAGAGCCTCCCGCTTCCCCCCAAAGCAGAATTAGCCTGTTCCTCTCCAGCTGCTTAACAACTGCTATGGCTGTGAAGCTGGAACACGCCATCCCGGAGTGACACAACAGCTACCCACTTGGACTAAGAGGGAGCCTGCGTGTTTCCTCTCATTGGCAGCCACGATGTCAGCTGTGAGTCGATCCACTCCTCGTGTCTCCACGACTGGGATGATTTGACATGGGGCCCCTGAATGAAATCCTCCATTCTCCCTATTCTAACCTCAAGTTACCTCTTGAACATTTTTTAACCCGCTGGAGGGGAAGGACGTTTCTCTTCCTTTGAGCCAGGCTCTGAAACCCAGACTCTGAACTGCGTTGGACTAGAAGACCTCCAAAATCCCTTCCAACTCTATGAATGCAATGTAATGGCTTGCACTCCTCCAGGCTCAAGTGCCATTTATCATCTCAAGGACCTGCAGACCGCTATCATGGCCACACTTTGAGCCTCGGGAACCTAACACAGATCATCACAGCATCGGTTTTTTTTGAGGGATGTATCGAAAGCACTTCTATCCCCCCAAGGGCTGGAAACTGGCTTCCAGAGGGGCTAAGAGATAAACAAAAGGAGACAGCCTGTGCCCGCAGGCTTGGCTTGCGGCGTAAAAGGAGATGACACACAAGGAAAACAAGTGGGGAAGAAAAGAAGGAAACAAGAAAACTGAGCAGCTAGTTCTTAAGATTATGCCGCTCTTATAAATGGCCTGTTGTAAAGCACGTAAATTGTTTTGTGTGTTTTTAAGTATTTTTTATTAGGTGCGATCGCTCAATATTCCACTACACGGTAGCTAATAACACCGTTAATAAGCAACCAATAATAACCACCAATAAAACAAACCAGCAAATAACAGATTAAAGAGATTTTCTTCCAAGGGACCTTACCATACGGCAGTGGCTGTAATCACAGCAAGATCTGTCCTATACTCTGCAATACACCAAGCATAGGAGTAATTAACATATATATGAATATCTAGCCCTTTCAAGTATCTGTACAAGTATTTTATCTCAGCACTCATCTGAGCAATAAACCCTCCGTTCCCTAAGGGGTCATCAATCATAGTCTCTTCTTGGCCATGCAAGCTTCATTCCAAGACCTAATCAACATCTATAGTCACTCCCCCCACCCCATAAAAACCTGAAGAAGGGCAGGTCCAACAGCCACACCAGCCATCATAGCAACCTTAATCCTGGTCCCCCTACAGCCAGGTTCCAACAAACAACTTTTGAAGTTACATGCCTAAAGTGTGTCCTTAACCGTTCTGTAAATAGGTCCCAAAAGGCAAACTGGATTTTTTCCCCCCCTTGAAAACGTTTCGCTTCTCATCCGAGAAGCTTCTGAAGAATGAATGAACTGAAGAAGCTTCTTGGATGAGAAGCGAAACGTTTTCAAGGGGGGGAAAAAACCGAATAAGAAAGTCCAGCTGCCTTTGGAACAACCATGATTGAAAACATTCAACCTTTTAACCAGCTCCAACCACAACCAAACAAGGATAACCTGTCCACGCTCATCCACAACGTCCCCCCTTGCACAACAGTGATGGTACCCCTGTGCCCCCCAACATCCACCGAAGACCACAAGTCCACCCCATACACCCCACTATTCCACATCCTGAGATGCCAAACACTCCAGCCTCTCTCTCCCTCTCCAGCAATGCTACCTTGGCCCACCCCGAGTCCTTCCCCACGGCTGCCCTCCCCCAGCCCCCTCTCCATCTCCTCTGCTACCCAACCCCCCCATCCCCACCTTCCCCCCCTGATGGGCTCCAGGTTAAATCTCCACCTCCCCATCATCTCATCTGCCAGTCTGCCAAGGTTAGAAAGCCCCCAATAAGACCCCAGCTAGGTTGGCCACGGATGATGGGAGCTGTGCTCCATCCCCAGGGGGCGAGAAGGCAGCCCCTCCACTCCCCTAAGCTCCTCCCCTTTTTGGCCTGCCTGCTTAGCCCCGCCCACACGGAGAGGTCGCTGCTCCCTGCCAACCCGGCGCCCCTCCATCTCTCTCTCTCTCTCTCTCATTTGCATATTGTATTAGCATGCCCGCCGCCGGAGCCAATCAGGGCGCTCCGAACGCTCGTTTGCATACCCGCCTCCTCGGCGGCCCGCCCTCCCCACTCACCCCTCCGCAGGGCCTCGTCGTAGGTGAGGAAGCCGATGCGCGACTCCTTGTTGCCCATCGCGGTCTCCTCAGTCCATGGCGGACGCCGCCGCCCGTGCCCCGCAAACAGTCGCTGGCCTCAGGCGGCTGCCGCCGTCGCGGCCCGCCGGTTCGCCCTGGACTAGCAGCCGCCGCGGCCGCCGCAACAGCAGCGCCGCCCCCGCCGACTCCTGAGGAAGATGTTCGCCTCAGCTGCTGCCGCCGGCGCCGCCGCCGCCACCTCCATTCCGAATCACGTGACGTCGCCAATTAACTGACCCCTCCTCTTCTTTCAAAGCTCGGCCCCGCCCCCTGGCGTGTCACCCGTCCGTCCCTCCCCCCTCCTCCCCCCCCTCCCCCCTCCAGTCGGAGAACGAGGTGTTCTTGCCAGCCCTCACTTCCGGTGCGAGGTCAACCGCGCGCGCCGTCAGGCAGGCGGTGCGCATGCGCCAGAGTTAGACTCGCGCTGAGGCGAAATTCCTATCCTTTCCCCCCCCCCCGTTTGTTGTTGTTTTTTTTATGCTCTGTTTTATTTATATAATATTCAATTTTCATCAGACTGTGCGGTCTGGCTACAGTTATGTTTAAATTTATTCATTTATTTATTTAAATTTTTATATCTCCCTTCTCCCGAGGGACTCAGGGCGGTGCACTGCCAACAATAAAACACATATATCCGTAAAGTTTAAAAAACAGTTTAAAAACGTATTAAATCATTTGGCCCCAAAATTATTAAAAACTAAACAAACCATTAAAATTCATGTGTAAGCCAGCCCAGCTTGTTGAAACAATAAATGTCTTGAGGGCATAATAGGCCTAATACACATCTTTGTTGTATTCATCACCATAATATTGATAATATAATAATACTTCTTCTTTAACAACTCTCCACTTTAACATTTCTTCTTTTTATATTTCCTCCTTTCTAACTTCTGTTTCTGTTGTCTAGCCATTGATTAAATATGTCCCATATCAAAAAAAATACTCAGTTTCTTCTTTATCCTTAATAGAAAGCTTTAGTCCGGGAGTCGGCAACCTTAACACTCAAAGAGCCATTTGGACCCGTTTCCCACAGAAAAGAAAACACCGGGAGCCACAAAACCCTTCCCGTGCCTGACTGTTTCTTGAGGGGCCACAAAACTAGCATATGTAGTTGAATTAAACGTTCTGTTTTCTTCTGAAACTTTTCTTTTCTTGGATTTATCCATGGGGGTTGAAAAGCTCATTAAATTGCGTGGTCGGCAGGTGTCGCCCATTGGCGGTTGTGAGTCGTGACGCATATTTTGAGTGACAAGGAACGCAGCAGAGGGGTGAAAGAGCCACATGCGGCTCCAGAGCCGCAGGTTGCTGACCTCTGCATTAGTCTATCCATTTCTGCGCATTCTAATATTTTCTTTTACATTCCCCTCGGACGGGATCTCAATCATTTTTCCATTATTGCGCAAATACAATTCTAGTTGCTGTTAGTATATGTAGTCTTATTATTTGTTTGTTTCTTTTAAACTCTATAATATTGAATGTTTTTCATTGTTCTTTTTATTGTTTTTTTAAAGAACTGTTGGTGGAAATCTTTTCTCCGTTCCTTTTTCAACTTCTCTGATTTGGCAAATATAGGGGGGTAGGAATAATCTACAGAACAGAATACAGAATACAAGAGTTGGAAGGGATCTTGTAGGTCATCTAGTCCAACCCCACCCGCCCCCAAGCAGGAAACACTGCCTACACCATTTCTGATCGATGGCGGATGTCATAAATAGCATTGATTCATTTCTAGAAGACTGGAAATTCACCTCAGAATTTCCCAGAGCATTTGAGAAATAAATATATTCTGTGTGGGCCCTGTCAAATTTATACAGGGACATCAACCAACGATAACGGTTCTTGTGCTAGAGAGATGTATCTATATACATATATGCACATAGTCCTTGACTTACAGCAGTTCATTTAGTGACCATTTTGAAGTTACGATGGCACTGGAAAAAAAGTAACATGACCATCGAAGCATCCCCGTGGTCATGTGATAAAAAATTTGGAGGCCGGCAACTGACTCATGGTTATGACGGTCGCAGTGTCCTGGGGTCATGCAACCTTCCAACGAGCAAAGTCAAAAAGGGAAGCCAGATGGTGGCAATTGTTCTAACAGTGAAGACAACCAGTGGAACAGCTTGCCACCAGAAATTGTAGAGGCTTCATCACTGGAGGTTTTCAAGAAGAGACTGGACAGTCACCTGTCTGAAATAGTATATAGGGTCTCCTGCTTGAGCAGGGGGTTGGACTAGAAGACCTCCAAGGTCCCTTCCAGCTGATTCTGATCCTCACTATCAGGAAATTGCTCCTTAGTTCTAAATTGCTTCTCTCCTTGATTAGTTTCCATCCATTGCTTCTTGTCCTGCCTTCAGGGGCTTTGGAGAAGAGGTGGAAACCCTCCCCTCTTCTTTGGGGCAGCCCCTCAAATATTAGAAGACTGCTACTGCAATATATTTTCTGTTCTTTCTCAAAAGGGTTACAGTACTGGATTTAAATGATCTTCGGTTGGAAACCTGAAGTGTGTTTCTCTCGATTTTAACCTTCCCTTTGCACTGATCCAAAAATAGCCCCTCCCCTCCAATCATGCTCTCATCACTTGACATGATGGAGGACAGCTGGTACTGTCTATCCTTCTATAGAAATAATAATATAGAGTTACCCACAAGTGCCCAAACCAAAATATAATTTCCTTCTTGTCTTCTTTCTATAAAAAAAACATAGATATGCATCCCTTGGGTGAGGGGGGGGGGACTCACTGTCTCCATCTAAAACCATGCAGAGTTTTAATTGCAATTTCGAAGCCCACCAATTTAACCTCTATAATGTTTTCATAGCAAGTATTTGGCAGCAATTGGTGAGAAGCATCTCGACCATCTACCCACGGAGGAGCCCATAGAGATAAAAAATATAATAGAGGATAGAATGCACCCAAAGGTTCCCCTTAGAAGATATTTTTTTGTTCTAGAACCAGGGGCGAAATCCAGCAAGTTCTGACAAGTTCTGGAGAACCGGTAGCGGAAATTTTGAGCAGTTCGGTGAACCAGCAAACACCACCTCTGGCTGGCCGCAGAGTGGGGTGGGAATGGAGATTTCGCATTATCCTTCCCCCAGGAGTGGGATGGGAATGGAGATTTTGCATTATCTTCCCCTGCCACACCCACCAAGCCATGCTCACCAAGCCACACCACACCCACCAAGCCACACCCACAGAACCGGTAGTAAAAAAATTGGATTTCACCACTGACTAGAACTTATGGCAACTTGATCACTCTCTACTTTAGGGTTTCTGTAACTTGAGGCTGTGTGGACTTCAACTCTCAGAAGACCCATAATGATGAGTCCTATTTTGGAGAAGGGCGGTATAGAAATTTAAATAATAATAATAATTCTGGGAGTTGAAGTCCCCATCTCTTAAAATGATCAAGTTTGAGAAATGCAGCTGTACATCTTAGCATCTGTATTCTGAATATTGTAACTGTTCTACCTGTGTGGCTCATAAGAGTTGACAACAACTGGATGGCTTGTAATTGGTCCATCAAAAAAAGTAAAATATATCATTGAACATATAACACATCTTATCATAGTCATTGGTCTTTTTATTATCTTGATAGATTGCCATTGTTGGAAGAAATGTTCATCTGGGTTCAGTTCCAAGTGGGAAGAAAGACACCATGGAAACAGGGAGGCTGATTGAAAAGATGGTTTAATGGTGGACATGACCACATGGTTTGAGATCCTGGGCAATCGAGCACATAGGTGAGAGAGAGAGAAAGAGATTTATACCGTCTCTTGGGCTTTGAACGTGCTTCCTGTTCCTGTGAAAGAAATGTATTCTGATTGGTTGTCAGACTCCCATGGGGCAGTGCAGGGGTAACTTTGTAGGTTGTCTTGAGTACCATACTTGGTTGAACCTTGCTGGGTGATGATGTAATGAAGAGAGTTTTGGGCAATTCCTATTATGGCTTAATGGCTTTGTCCTGGTTTGGATCTTGAGTGAGGGCTAATCCTATCACCCTGAAGCTGAAGGTCTTTTCTTTTGTAGATAAGCTGGCACCAAAATATCTGCTGGGGCTGAATTTCTGTGTCCCTTAAGATTTCTCTTTCTCTTTTGGGGGAAATATTCTGCCTTTTTAATACTTCCTAGAATATTTCATTCTTCTAGGAGAGGGGTGGGTGCTAACTTTCTAAACCATTTTATAAATGAATGAATTAGGGAACTGGAGGTTAAAACATACAAAGAACGGTTGCAGGAATTGGGCCTGTCTAAAAAACGGTTGTGGGAATTCGCTAGGTCAAGTCTAGTGAAAAGAAGGACTAGGGGAGACATGATAGCAGCCTTCCAATGTCTCAGGGGCTGCCACAAAGAGGAGGGAGTTAGGCTATTCTCCAAAGCACCTGAAGGCAGGACAAGAAATGACGGATGGAAACTAATTAAGGAGAGAAGCAACCTAGAACTAAGGACAAATTTCCTGACAGTGAGAATAATTAATAATGCTGTAATGGATGTAAGTATGAAAAATGGTCATAAGTCACTTTTTTCAGTGTCATTGTAACTTTAAATGGTCGCTAAATGAATGTTTGTGAGTTAAGGAGTACTGTATGAATTGAAAAATCATATGGGTATTTCCTCATCTATTTATCGTCACTTCCAGCATAGTTGCAAACCGTCATGATGAAAGGATGAGAAATGCTTGTCTCTCAACACTGAACATGAGAATATAAATCATATGGGTCTCATCATCATGTTGCAAGGCAGGGCTCATCGTGACCTCCTCCCTTCGCTTCCTACCCCTCCCAGATACTCAGTAGCCCTGAAAAAATGATATTTTATTGAAAGCTGGGATTTTCCCAACTGCAAGGAAGCATTTTCTTTAAACCATGTCAATCGTCTTTTAGCACCTCTGCTGGTTCTCACAGGCATCTCTGAGCAAATGGAGAACTGAACTTGGGATAACAGAGGAAGTTGCTAAGGGGAGACTTGCAGAGAAGATGACACGGTCCCGAGAAACAAGGAAGGGTGAGAAAGAAACTCAAGAGAGGAGCTGCTTGATTTTGTATAATACTAGAATTACAAGATCCAGAGTTATGACCACAAGCGGGACTAGAATTTCCATTGCAAAGCCAAGGTGGTTGTTAAGTGAGTCATGCCCGACTTTATGAGTTTTTTGGCCACTGTGGTTAAGCACATCACTGCAGTCTCTTAACGA